GTGGTTACTTTAATTACCAATAAAAAACAATATTATAACAAAAAACATGATGCTGAGATTTAAACTGAGTCTAGCTGACGGGGGTGAAGTGGTGGCTAGTTTCAGACACGAGGCGTGGAGCAGCTGAAGGCTTATGGCGAGTAAACACTGGAGCCAGTGATGCTAGATCTGGTTAAAGCGCAGAACTCTTTATACAACATGCATCCTTCACCCTCTTAAGTGCTTTCCAGCTGACATTTACACTGACGGATGCTTCAGGGAGAAACTGTGTATGTTGCCCACGGATACTTTAGCATGCAGTCAGAAACCAAACCACCAAACTTTTAATTCATAGATGCAGCGATCTACGGCCACTGACGCAGCGATCTACGGCCACTGACGCAGCGATCTACATTCTGATTAAGGACAAACTGTTCACTGAGTGATCTGACAGCCTGGTGTTCTCATGCAGATCAAGGCTGTATCTGTTCTACGCTCTTTTATGGACCTTGGCATTGTATTTGTGATCCTTTTAGCTGTATGCTCATCTAATGGCTGAGCACTGATTACATACGACAGGCAAACACTTTTAAATTTAAGACTCTCCCATTCGTCTCGGGCTGATCCTTGCTGGGCGACGCCAGCCCGCCCTGACTGGACCCTCCGACTGGCTTCTTCCACCTGCCTCTTCCTAACCAAGAAACGCTACAGGAAACGCGGAGCGGCTGTCGCGTTTGCCTCAGGGTCTACTTTAAAGCCAGAGCCACAGGCTACCCACATGCCAGCCTGGATATTTTATCTTCTTTCCCTCCTTCCAGGAGTGCTCTGATGCCAAGTTGCTCACCCACCGTTGGATCTGCTCAGCTGACCATGAACTCTACCCTGCCCTTCCTGTGGCATGTTTTCCTGCTCGGGTTTGGATAACATCGCTCCGACGCGGCGTTTGCTGAAGCAACCTTAGTGTCCTACGACACACCACCTGTGGCGATTTAGCCCCTAGGATACGGATGGCATTGCTTAATGTCAGGTCGCTGGTCAATAAGACCTTTCTCTTACACGACTTCCTCTCCACTAATGGGATCGATGCTTTATTCCTGACTGAAACCTGGATTCGTCCTGGTGAGTTCATCCTTTTTTCCGATCTTCTTCCATCGGATTGTGTCGCTTTTAGCTCACCAAGGATTACTGGTAGGAGTGGCGGCGTAGCCTCGGCGATGACTGCATCCACGACCACACTCTGCGTGGTGGTTTACCGACCGCCTAAATATAGCAAATGTTTTATCACGGACTTTGCTGATCTCCCAGGTTCTGTTCATGTTTGTGGTCTCATTGTCGGTGATTTTATTATACACACTTGCTGTAAGGACGACCCCCTTTGCTAAAGACTTCCTTACTTTAACGGCTCTTAACCCGTCTCAGTGGGTTAATGACCCAACGCGTGTTAAAGGACAGACTTTGGACTTGGTTTTTTCATCTGGTCTGGACATTTGTGAATGAATATTTTGTCTTCTTTTGCAGGAATTCTTTCCTGAACCTCCTTGAAGCTGTTTGTTGTTGTGTTGCTATGATATTCTGGTTTTATAGTCAGCCCCATGCAAACATGGTCTCTGCTAAACCGCGACAGCCTTTCATTAACTACCAATCGCTCCAGTGTTCAGAAATCAGCTGAGTCTTTAGCTAGGATCATGTGACCACAGACATCCTTATTCAGCCTGCTCTGAGATCTTACTGATACCAGTCTGTGCTCCTCGCTGTATTTCTGACCCTCAGGCGGTGATGTCCTAACGTTTGCAGAGACTCAGCTGAAAGCATTAGAGTTGATAAAGCTGCCTGAGGAGCGAGTGGTTGTAAGTGCTGAGCAGAATCTTCTGGGCTCTGAAGCTGTCGAGTGTTTGCGTTACCTTGTGTCCGGGCACCCGCTGCGTCCCCCCCGGTGGTCCCACGACAAAGTGAACATCTGCCATCATCTCATTGTTGAACATGACTGAATTCCTATAAGAACACAGCAGTTTTGAGGGGTCGCTTAATGAAAAGACACCAAAGCAGGAGCAACCTGTCAGACCTGCAAACTCATCTTTCAAATACAGAAATGCTGCATGATGATGGAGGGTGAACTAAACATTTAGGTTCCAGGACTCTCACATTCTTGCAGCCGAGCATTTTAAAGTAATTTTTAAAAAGTATTTTTCTTTTTAAATTTCGCTGCTGGCTTTTTCCGGAGAGAATTTTAATCCTTTCTCTCTAGTGCTGGATCTCGGCCTCCTCCACACACCCACCTCTCTCTGATGGTGGGGTACAGGCCCTGCCAGTTACAGCTGGTGATGCTGGTGTTGTTGTTGGTGAGGTTCTGCTGCTGGTACTGCTGCACGGAGGCGGCCGGGACCAGCTTCTTGGTGGGAAACAGCTCCGCAGCCATCGTCCTGCAGTCAGACCGCGGACCCGCTCATGGCAGCCCGGGGAGCCGGTGCCACTGGAGGCCGGAGAGGAGAAGAGGAGCGCTGGGAAGAGAAACCAGAGTCTGCTTAAAACCCGCAGGATTTTAGCTGCGCGGAGCTAACATTAGCACAGCCAAACACATCTCGATACTTTCACCAAGTGTTTCAATAAAAGCGACAACAAATGACAAATCTGCAGCAGTAAAACCCCGAACCGGTGTGAGCATGCAGCCCGACCCCGGAGTCCAAAAATAAAAACTCATCTTATGAACGTGTTCCGTTTGTGTTAGCAGGTTTGTGCTAAGCTAACTGAGTTATTTGCCGCTTTAAAAAGTTCATTTCGCTTCGAAACTTCAGCCGTTTGTTAAATCGGTGCGTTAACACTCACCGTAAAGCCACACAAGTGTGCTTTTGATTATTTCCTCCTCATAAAACACGGTGTGTTGCTTTTCTGTGCGTTTAGCGGAGCAGCTCTTGTTTACCCGCAGGAGCCGCAGGCGTGTCAGCCAATCAGAGCGCAGCAGCGCCACACAGAGGTTTCTTCGTTTCCGTTTGGGAATCCAGGCTGAAGGCGAATCAGCGCCACCTGGCGGACCAGCGCTGCTTAAAAACCTGGTTTCTAAACCTTTAACAAGCAGCTTAAAACTGTTAATATTTATTACATAAAATAATAAAAATAATTGATAGCCAGTCTAATTACAGAGTCTGGTCAATAATAATTATAGTGGTCGAGACTTAAACAAGAAATCAACCAATAAGATAACAGAAAATCTTCTTAAAAAAACCAAACCTATGTGATAATCTGAGAGAAACTAAACTGACTGATTTTAAAATGTTGTTTTTCATTGTTCCGTCTCTCGTTCCCGTCAACACTTAAAAAAACAACAATGAAACCACGCAGGATGATATACAACATATTTCTTTATTGTTACTGATAAATCTGTCACTCTCCCACTCTGAAGGCAAAAAGACACAAAAAAGCAAAAAAACAAAACACAGTGTGTGAACTGTATGTACAGCCCGAGCAGCTCCCATCGTCCCTCCTGCAGTTTCACAATAAAACACATCCACAGTTTACAGGCAGGATTCAGTCTGGAGTTCAGCTCACAGAAGATTTCATCTGCAAACAGAGACGGAGCCGCGTCCCCGAGTTTATCAGCGAAGAGGAAGAGATGAGACGTGGTTACATTTTTATTCAGCTTTAAAATAAACTAAAGATACGATGGAAGCAAATTAAAATAAATACATTTTGTGCACTTTGTCAAAACTCACACTCTGAAATCTGTTGTTGCTCCACCAGACTTAGAAATATGATCAATGTGCTCCAGTGTGAGTCTGCTTGTTTTGCTCTGCAGGTTTCTGTCAGCGCTGAGAGAAAACCCGGCAGAACAGAACAAGAAAGAAAGCAAATTTAAACATTTACACTCTGTGAAGCTGAAAGTCTTCAGTTCATCCAGCTGAAGATGAAGATGCACGAAAGACTGACGACAAACTGAAACTAATTTTGGGCGACAGAAGCTTCATAAGTGAGCGAGCGGCGTCTGTGCAGATTAGTACAAATCTTTAAACTTCTGAACCCTTTAGGAACTCAGCGCTGACTCCATGTTGCTCTCAGCAGGCAGCCGAACAAACTACTGAATGTTTTTGGCAACTTTACAACGTAAAAATAAAAGCTGCCATCACACGTGTTCAATCTAAAGCTGTCGTCACTGAGAAAAGACGGAGACATTTAAGAAGCTGAAAACCATCAAACGCTTTGTCTTCGACACACGACTCCGACACGACGCTCTAAGAAAATCTGTCAAACCGATGAGTTTTTTTTGTTTAACAGTTTATTTTTGTGTACATGGAGTAAACGGGATGAAGCAGTGAGGATTAAAACGTCCACAACTTCCTTTTATGGAAGAAAAAACCAACAAAAACGAATCGAATTGATTCATTTTAATGCAGAAATCAGCCAACTGTGTGGATATGCCCTTACTTTGGAAACCAAACAGGAAGCTGCCCGCTCGTATCACGGACAAGACTTTAGAAAACACCTTGAACACAGACGAGTGCAGGTAAAGGTGAACGTCGTGGATAAAAAGCTTTTAAAGGAAGCGTTCATGCTCCACACGAGTTCACAGGAAAACACAAACACTCAACGTTTGATCTTCCTGCTCTAAACATCTTTACACCAGTTAATAAATAGATTTGCTTTAATACCTAAAAACTGTACACACATAAATCTGTTACGTCTTTGTACACGCCGACCGTTTCACACCACGACGGGAAGCAGCTGCTTTCTGAGACGATGCGTTTGGTTAAAAAACACAGACGTCATTAAAACATCAGCAGAAACCCAAAAAGAAGAAACGACACTTTCAAGTAAAACAGAATAAAAAAGATCCGCCTGCGTCTCACGGCGAGCAGATCTGAGGGCGCAGCACAGGTGTTACTCAGGTGTGTTACGAGAAGGTAATTAGCATTAGCAACAGCGGGCGTCGGGATTAGTCGGAGGCGTCCGATCCGTTTGATTTCTGGAGAGAAAAGCTTCGCCGCAGGGTCACGCCCACAAAAGCAGCCACGTATCTTACAACCCGTGAGTGAGGAGAACCTTCAGGTGAGGTTTCCCATAAGTCCCTGTGAGCGCCGCTCAGGGTTTAGAGCAGAGAGCTCAGCGGATCAGAGATCCACGAGCAGCGTCTCGGAGGAGGAGGAGCCAAAGAAACCCCGTCAGAGCTCAGCTGCAGCCAATCGGACTCTGTTGAACCTTCATCATTGATTCAGAGTCAGCGAAGGATTACTGCTCAGTCAGGGCTGAGCGCCTGTGTCAGGCGGTCCCAGCAGGTGGCGCCCTCTCAGGTTAACCCCGCCCTCTCCACCTCATGACTCTGCAGAGCGCAGTGAGGACCTTCCTGTTCGGATGTTTGGGGCTGGAGCCAATCAGGCGCCGATTCTCTTTAATGTCGCTTCCCACCGAGCGCCAGGTCATCGCCACCAGCAGGGACGAGAACCTGATGGAACCAACTAGAGACGTGGGCCAAAGTTCCTGTGGGCGTGGCTCAGGTGGAGCACATTAAAGGCGGGGACAGATCCAGGACTGTCCTCGCAGCCGCTCAGCTCAGGACGGACGGACTAACAAACGGAGGTCGTGTGAAGGTTAAACTTGGCCGCCATCACCTCCCGTCCCGACTCCGGCGTCTCGGGTTTCTTCTGAGCGTCCGACAGAAAGAAGGCACGTTACGATGAGAAGGACGTCTGCGGCGAGCCCGGAGCTGTTCGAGGGAGAACGCACGCCGCGGCCTCCCGCGTGATAACTTCTCCCCTCTCTCAGAGGTCAGTTTGTTTTGTGGATCCGGGCCAGCCCGAGTCCAGCAGGGGGCGGGGCTTAACATGAGAAGAATCTTAAAGGGGGGGCGTGGGGGGGATTGAGGCGGGGTCACCTTCTGCAGAGGAAGCGACCTCCATCTGTCCAAAAATAAGAACCCCACTGAGAACGCCGGGGCGGTCAGCTGACCACATTCAGGTCATACGAAGACTTTGGCGAGCGCGTCGGCCCCGGCGCTGCCGATGTAGCACTTGGTGGGATGGAACGCCACGTCGTGGATGGACTCCTCGAACTTCTTACGATGTGCTGTGAACTCCTGGATGCAGGTTTTACTCTCCATGTTCCACAGACGGATCGAGCAGTCGTGACCTGACGGGAGGAGAGACAGCCAATCAGCACAGAGCAGAGACTGTAAACAAAGATGGAGGCCTTTAGATGTCACAGGACAGAGCGAGGGATGAACCTGCAGATCCGATCTGTCAGTCAGACAAACAAACGATTGTTGTTGCTACAGGATACGTTTCATCATAAACAAACACTTCCTGGTTTCCTGATGCTGTGATTGGCTCGGCTGTGAGAACAGCGCGTTTTACTCCAGAGCTCTTAGAGTGAAAATAATAAATACAGGAAGTACCCGTAGGCTCTTTATAAAGTCTGATAATATTATGGGATGTGGCGTGCGCTCGGATACTTACTTCCTGACATGAGGTAAAGGCCGTTTGGATCCACGGCGAGGCTGGTGACAGCGTCCAGGTGGGCGACCATGGAGTGGATGAGCTTACCTTCA